CGGTGGGCGGCGGAGGCATCAGTTTATATGTGATGACAGTGTTTGGGACGTAAGCGACCTCTTGGTAGTGGTCTTCATCGTCCTTCCAATACAGTTCCCGCTCAGAGATGTCCCGGAAGTTAATCACAAAGTAGTAGATTTCAAGAAAAAAAGGCTTTGATTTTGCTTTAATTGGGTCTTTAATTGGGTCATAATTGACTGTTAAATGCCGAACACCCTGTTTTGGGTCAATACCTGTGTCCGGCTGTTTTATTATTTCACCAGGTTCAGGTAACATAATTTCTACTCTAACCTAAAAGAAAATCAATTCAATTTGTAGTTTAAAAGTTAAAACTAAAGTTTACTTTATGAGAGTTGAGGTGTAAATGAGAATTTAGAGGCAAAAATAATACTTACATTATTAGAATCGGATACAAAGGTCTCGTAATTACCGGGACTTTGGTCATCGTAATAGTTACACATATCGGTGTGACCATCATTATTAAAACTCAATAAATGTTTTTTGGACTCCTCGTCATATATCAATAGCTGACCATAAGGTTTACTACACACCTTCACCATCATTGCGATATATGATTCCCGAGGCATTTTGAGGGGATTGGGTCCCTGAACATCCAAATCATGCATATGAAAGTATACGGGAAATAAAGGCACTTTCTGTTGGGAAAAGGTATTTGATGCAATTAGATCTGTGAATTAATTAATTCATTACGGAATATATACCTGATTATTCACTGGAGGTGATTGTATAGGACTGAGCAAACAGTTAGGTTCCGGTTCACTTTGTTCACCCAATTTATTACATAGATTTAATGAATGGATTTTTTGGCTTATATTAGTGTCATATTCTGGCAATTGTGCACTCGTTTGGTCATCATCGCCAATTTGTTCTCGCTTATTTATTGTAAATTGATCTGAATATTAAACATGTATTGGAAAAATCCATAAGATTTAGGTTTCAATTTACAATATTTAATAATTATTTTAAGGTTTAATTTATTATAATATAGAAATTATTTCTGACCTTTTAATCCGACCCCATAATTATCGTTAAGCCTTATAACACTATTATTTGTACGATCAGTGACTCCGTCGGCAAAAATTCCCAATAATTTGGGTTCACTTCTGGATATGAGTTCCTGAGCACCGAAATACTGTCCACTCGTTTCATCCGTTATATTATTGTCGGCATAAGTATCACAAGAATTTGGGATTATATACACAAAAAATATTGAAATTGTAAGCACTTTATGAATTAATTTAAAACACAATTTGTTTGAAAACATTGTATGAATTGTTTTATAAAAATGTTTTAAAAGAAATTTACATAACTATTAAATTAATATTAATTTTGTTATAAAAATTGTGCGATGAATAAAAAATATTACAAACTAAAAGTCAACACAAATAAAATTAATTGAATATCATGTATGAAATCCTTAGACAATATCCGTATCGACACATACTTCACAACCGATAATGAAATAAAAGTTTTGTACAAAACTATTCACCAAATGATTAGTGTTTTATCGAAAGCCGTGTAAAATACGAAAGA